TGTTATAAAAAGATTTTTTTATGGCCGACAGCATTCGGCTATTCTGACGGGATTTGCTGTAATTATAATTAATAACATTCAAAATGAATTAATATATTATTTTTTTATATAAAATTCATATAACAATACACTCTTGTTTTGATGTTTTTTTCTTTTGATAAATAACACTTTTGCAGTTTGAAAAAGCGTTTTTACCAATCAAAACAAGAGTGCTTGGTACTGTTATTTCAAGTGTAGTGCACCCACCAAAACATTCATCTTTTATTTGTTTCAAGCTTTCTGGTAAAATGATTGTTTTCAAATTTATGCAATCAAAGAACGACTTTTCTCCAATCAATACGAGACCGTTTGGAAGTATAAGATCTTCCAAATTGTGACAGCCACGAAAACAACACGACCCAATAGCATATAGTTTACTCCCAATTTCAATTCTCTTTAAATTGATACACCCACCAAAACATCCTACTTGTATTTCATTCAGTTTTTCTGGAAGTTTAATGAACTCGAGCGATTTACATTGATTAAAACAGTGGTCACCAAACAAAGTCACACAATCTGGTAGACTGACACTAACAAGCAACTCACAATTTGAAAAACAGTAACATCTTATTTCATCTAAGTTCCCAGTCATTGTCACAGACTTCAAAAGTTTGCAATTAGAAAATGCGAATGCAAAGACGATATTTACAAAAAATATTTAATTATTTTTAATTTTATTTTTGATTGGAAATGAAATGTTTTTGAATGATATTTAAATAAAATGAAATATAAAAACAAATAAATCAAATTAACAAACAATGGAAAATAAACTGATAGCACTATCAACACTTTGCACTAGAGCAGCAAAGGCGGTGTCAGACATGCACGAATCGAAAAGAGAATACAACTTTGTCGACGACAAGTCACTTGACATTGCACAACGCATTGAAAATGCAGAGGGACACTTCGACAGACTTGATGAGGTATTTGAGAGAAAGAAGAACATCACAACATTACTTAACACGATTTTTACTGATTTGAATAACGCAACCAACAAAATCAAAAGCGAGACATGTTTATATTCAACAAAGAGTGACAACGAGAAGTTTTATGAGATATTTAAAATCAGAATTGCACTTCTTGAAGAAAAGTGCCAGATGGATATTAATTTATTTCAAAACCAAACTCACGAAATTATTCAAATTAAAAACAAAGCAATCGATCAAATCATAAAATCAGAAAAATTCATCAATTCAAAAAGACAACATGACGAAAAAGTAAAACAAAAAGAAGATGAAGAAGCCAAAAGAATGGAGTGCGAACACATCACACTTGAAGAGAAAGCTGGTCTTGAGAAGTTGACGGGTAAAAAGATTGGGAATGTTGTGTTTAACTCATACAAAGACATCTGGTTTGAAGGCAATTCGGTGTTTATTAATAAAGTTATGTACAAAAGCAATTTGTGCTTCTTGGTGGAAGACACAAATTACAACAAGTTTGGCGGTGTGTTCACTGGAAAAATTTATAGTTATGGCCAATATCTCAGCAGTGGCAGTTCTTATATATTTTCACTTGTGAGAAACGGCACTTTGAATCCAAAAAAATTTTGTAAAAGTGGAAATAACACCGATCACGAATTTTATATTGATCCTCAATGTAGTTTGAATCTTTTTGGATTTGGTGATGGTCATGATATAGGTGTGTACAAGAAAGGTCAAAAAGGTAATCATTGCAGACCAGACACTTTCACCGCCAAACACAACGATTTGACCGATGATTACAAATTCACACCAAAGAGTGTTGTTGTCTTCCAACTTAACTGACTTTTTTGTCACTTTTTTGTTTTTTTCAAAACGTTGACGACAAAAGTTTCATTTATTTAATGCCACGTCGTCACCACAACTTAAATTAACGTACACAAGTTTTAACAAATTCTATTTTTGAAGAATCTGATTGACGGAAACAAAAAACAGGTTTCACCCTCCAAACCCAACACTGGAACGAACACTCGATTATAACATCTTTGATGTTTCTGGTTATTTCAGGCATATCCTTATTGTGTCTAGTATCTTTTTTAGAAATAAATTCCCGACGCCGCAACTCGCCAGGTTCAACAAGTTTCGAAAGTTATGGTATATATCCTCTTTGTATCAGGTTGTATATTTCTGAAGTATATTAAATGAACGTAGTTTGATATAAAAAATACCTAAAGAGTGGGAGAAAGTCAAACTAAAATTCTTTCTAATGTGACTTTATTGAATTTATAATATAAATTCGATAAAAACAATGTTTTTGTTTGATTTTGGAATCGTGTTGATTCAAGTTTTACTATTTTTGATAAGTCTTTACTACCTTTATAAAGCACTATTATATCGCATTTTTTATAATTTACATTTTCAAATTTATATCAAATGATTTGTCGTTTAAAGTTATAAAATTTATTTTATTTTATACAGGGGTGAAACCAAAGGTATAAATTTGAAAGAAAATGTATTAATTTAGGGTTTTTGAGCCCAAATTTGGCATTTTCCAGGTTTTAATATTTTTAGTTAAAACCACCCCCTTTGATTTAAATTTTTTTTAAAAAAATGCAAACTAAAAGAAGAAAAATATTAATAAACATTAAAATTACAGACAAATCATTTTTTCGAATTAAAATAAGTTAATTGTATTTTAGGTTTATCAGATCAAATAAAATAATCAAAGGTGAATAGATAAATCACCAACAATCAATGTCATCTCAAATGATAATGAACCTTATTTGTTTTGGGGAGTTGAATTCAACCCATAACAAAAATCACCTGTCATCAATTGTTCAATAAAAGAAAACCTAAAAAATAAATGTTCGGAAAAAGAAGCAGTAAATAAAGAATCAATTGAGAAAGCAAATTTCATATTTACGACAAAGATTATGAAGAAACACTTTTCAATGAAAAGAGAGACAATTTGTTTATCAACCAAAAATGTTAATTCAAAACTGAATATTATGACACCCAGAAAATTGATAGAAAGACTTGTGTAATTTTTAAAGAGTGATCCTGTTATTAAAATGTCGGTTGAGTTGTTTTATGATATTGTTTTATCAAAATATTTTTTGATATATTCAACTTCACAACAAAAACACGTACTTTTTATTATTAGTCGAATTAATACTTAATCAAAAATTCGTAATAAAGAATTTCTAGCACAAGGAAAACGCAAAGTTGTGAATTATGAATTTCTTAGTATACTTTTTCGAAGTAAGTCCAGCACAAATATCTCAATTAAAAGGTGCAGGTAAAATGATGATTGATGGGATTGCACTTAAACCAGGAAGACAATCAAAGTTAAATACACATCAACTAAACAGGTTAAAGCAAATGATTTAATCGGGTCTAACTTTTGGGAAAATGGTAACTACAGCTTTGGTTGAAAAATACATACAGTGGTGTTTTAGAGTTGTTTATTCGCAGCCCGGAATAAACAACTTAATGAAGGGTTGGGATTGAAAAAAAATACCCGTACAAATAGTCAAAAAGGCTCGAATTGGTGTTGAACCTGTCGAAATATTAGATTTCTTTCTAAAAGCAGACAAAGAAATTGAAGGTGTACAAGCTAATTTTATAATAATTTAAATGAGTCGAGTCATGAAAACTTTGCAGATATTACTACAACAGACTTATATATTCTTGCAATATAAATTTGACCAGGGTGAGATGCGCTGTTGATAAGTCTCTCAAAAATAATCACATGTGGTTATTATAAGTGCTCGTGTAAAACGTCTTAAGTCTGCAATAGTCATACCAAACAAAACAGTGGATTACCAGTTGAATTTTGCGGAATATGACAATAACAATTGTCACTTTATGTATAGTGAGAAGAGTACACTCAATAATGTTTTGTTTGCCGAATGGATCGATGAAATGTTTATTCCTGAAATAAACAACTTCGGAAGGAACAAATGTCTTTAGGAATAGCGGCATTATTTTTATGATAATTGTAACTTTTACATAGACTCCAATTAACCTTCTCAGTTAGAAAGTAACAATATCAGAGTTGTTTTTGTCAGCAAAACTACAAATTATTTCCAAAGCTTGATGTTGGTATTTTTCTAATCAGAAAGCACGTAAACGTTCTGAAAACATTTTTGATTATAACATGGTCAACGTGTTGAATATTCAGTGGATTGTCATATCAAAAGTCAAAAAAAGAAAAAGAAATCAATGTTGTATACAAACCACACACAAAAATTAAAAATATGTTATGATAATCAAACACCAGACGGTGAAAATAAACAATTTTTAATAATAATAGTGATAATTATTTACATAGAGACTTAAATGAAAGTAGGGACACGTGTTTAAGTGATTAGATAAATAATTGTAAAAAACAGAACAAAAAAGACTTTTTGAAGTATACTTTGAACGAATTGAAAAGAATAAAAAGTGAATATGGATTGTAGAAAAGTACTTCCAATAAATTTTATGTCGGTTATAAAAAGACAAATGAACAGTTTTTATACTTCCAATAAACACAACAATCCGGATTCGGGTATAAAAAGCTTAATGTTAATCAATAAATTAATCAACAAGCTAAAATGAATAAAACAACAAAAAATATTTTAGAAGTGATAGTAAAAAGCCAAAAATTAAAGACTTGGATTGTGGTGATACAAAAATGAAACAAAAATATAAAAAACGCTTAAAATGTTTTAGTGATGTTGATTCTATTGAACTTCTTACTGAACTGCCATTTATTTCAAAAATTACACAAAGACTTTAAATTTGTTTGTTCTTTATTGATGCAATCATTGAAAAAATAAACCAACGTTATTTTTTCATGATGTTAATTGTTTTTTAATTTTTTTCTGTTGGTCAGATGATTAATCATAGTAATTCAATGATTGAAACAAATTCACAAATCGTGCTTATTCCCAATTTTATTAATAATAATCACTGGAGTTTATTATTATTGTATAAAAAGGTGTTGAGGGCATCTGTATATTACAATAAGTAATTTCATCATACAAATAATTTTTTCCTTCGAAATTTCCCAGTCTGAGTATTAATTTAATAAAAGCATTTTTAAAAATTACGAAAAAATTGATTTTTGTACAACTCAACAAAGTGAGTGTTGGGAATGTGGGTATCGTATTTTTCTGTTATCTTGAATTTTTCAATGGGCCTTTCGTTGGAGGAAAGTCTTATGTATGATAAAAAATGTTGATATTTTAGAATTAATATACAAAATGAAAGAACAATTGGGTTATTGATTTTATATGTTTATTTAAATTGTTAAATAGTAACTTTATTAAAATTTGATAATATTAAAATATGTTATAGTTAATTAATATATATTTAATAACAATTTTAGGGTTTAGAGTGATATTAAAACCCGTTTTAATTTGTTGACCACATTATGTCACACAAAACAAGCCTAATTTTTTAAATGTGTGTTGCATTACAATTGAAAAAATGTGATTTGTCGAAATATTTATTGATGATACGGCTGCGACCAGCCATAAAATTTTCTGTTGGTAGTTGGTGTTGTTGGAGATGAGAACAAGAAGACTCATATAGTTTTTTTCGCTTTATTGAAAGATAGAATTACTTACTCGATTGTTGAGTTTATTTTTGATTATGTTTAAAAATCAAATGTGATACTAACACACAT